TTTTTGTAGTTTTCAGGCCCTCAAAACGCTGTTTTTTTGTGTGTGTAAATGAACAGCCAAAACGCATAAAAAGTGTTACGTTTTATTTGTTAAATTGTGGAATTTTTTTATATTAATGCGTATGCAATAAATATGCATAAATTAATATGCAGTGATAACTGTACATTGTAAAAGTAACTCTGTTTGATCAGTTATGCAGACATTATGCACTTTATTTTTTCTATCGTCCATTCTATTGTCCATGGCTATATTCTCATAGCTTTTTTTTTTTTTTTTCAGGTTCAGACACGGACTGTAGCAGAATGTGTGGCTTTTTATTACATGTGGAAAAAGTCCGAACGTTTTGACTTCTTTGCTCAACAGAACCGATTCGGCAAGAAGAAGTACAGTTGTTACCCGGGTGTGACGTAAGTGCTGGGATGCGAAATTGGTGCTTTTTGCCTGTTGAGTAATGTGTGTTTCAAAGAAAGTAAGTGTTGGTTGTGTCCTCAGAGACCTGATGGACAGGCTGGTGGATGAGGCGGAGGGTCTGGCGGTGGACAGCTCTTTATCCGTGTGTTCAGCAGGAGCAGGGGGAAGGATGGAGGCGTCAGCAGAGCAACAGCTCGGACTGCTCAACTCCATCACTGCTAGCGACCTCACAGGTGAGCTCAACTGCTACAATAGTCATGATTCACAAATGATTTATTCTTAGGAATTTATTAGTCATTTATTCTGGTTCTTTTAATGAATCACTCAAAAAGGTGATAAAATGATTGTTAGCAGTTTGAATCAGATGCACCCTTCACTGAGTTAACTGAATCAATCAGAGCAGCTACTAAATCATACGAGTAATTTACTGACTGATTGATCATTCATATAACAAAAGGTTGTTAAAACACATTTGCCTCTGTCTTTCTTGTTTTGGATTATTTTAATACATTTTTTAAAACTTTTTTTTAAAACATTAAAAGAAATTATCCAAATATTTCAGTAGGAAAAAACACTATTGCAATGCTGCCTGTCAGCAAGAATTTCTTTAATATACATCCCTTTTTTTTCCTCAGAAATTTTACGCAAGTGTATAATGGTACACTGGTGGTCAACGTTTTGAATAATTTTTTTTTTTTTTTTTTGGGGGGTGTTTTGAAAAGTCTTATGCTAACCAAGGCTGAATTTATTTGATCAAAAATACAACAAAAACAGTAATATTGTGAAATATTATTGCATTTTAAAATAACTGTCTATTTTAACATATTTTATGTGTAATTGATTCTTGTGATGGCAAAGCTGTATTACTCCAGTCTTCAGTGTCATGATATTTAAGAAATCATTCTAATATGCTTATTTAGTGCTCAGGTATCAATTAATGTTGGTGCTCAATTATTACTTTTTAAATGGTAGTGTATCACGTTTCCACAAAATATGAAGCAGAACAACTGTTTTCAACCTTGATAATAAGAAGAAATGTTTCTTGAGCACTAAGTCAGCATATTAGCATGATTTCTGAACGATCATGTGACACTAAAGACTGGAGTAATGATGCTGAAAATTCAGCTTTGCGTCACTGGAATAAATTATATTTGTAAATGTATTTTAAATAGAAAATGGTTCATTTTAATTGTATTAATATTTCATAATATTGCTGTTTTTACTGTAGTTTTGATCAAATAAATGCAGCCTTGGCAACTTCTTTCAAAAACATGACATTTTATTATTCCAAACTTTTGACCGCAGTCATGCATTTTGACAAGATTCAAAATGATAAATAGTCTGATGTATAAAATGCTTTTTTGTTCTTTTTCTTGCAGCCCTTAGTAACAGCGTAGCAACTGTGTGCAACGGTCCAGGAGACATGAGCTGTATGGACTCCCCTTATTTCCCTCCTCTGGAGAGTTTACACAGAGGAGCCATGAACCATGATGATCAGCTGAGCTACGCCACAAACGGAGACAGCGGCTGCCTCAACATGCTGGATTCTGGCTTCTACCGCTCAGATCTGGGTCAGATCAGCGTGTGCAGCACCAAAGACTGCGAACGGCCCTCCAAGAGGCTCAAGATGGGCCTTTCGGAGTCCTTCATGAACGATGTGTCTGTTACTAACCTGGGCGTGGACTTCGAGGGCAGACGCGCACATCGCATTACGGGCACCACAATGGCGGTGTCGGTCACAGACTTCAGCAGCATAGGGAGCGGTGAAGCCAACGGTTTCATCAGCTCTCATTCACGACACCACCAACACACTGCACTTCAGTCTGACTGACTCCTTTCTGCCACCCAGACACTGACTCATCTGCTCACTGACTATTAGTTCTTTTTAAAATTAAGAAATATATATATGAATATATGAATATACCTTTTGGTCGTTTTTTTGTTTTTGGAATATGACATCAGTGATGTCTTTATTGTACAGAGCTAAGAAATCTTGATTTCTCAAGAGTTTAAATAGCCATTTATTTTTCTGGTCCTTCAGATATTTAATATCCTTTTTGTCTTCGGTGATATACAGTTAAACCTAAATGCTGGAGCTAAAGTCTTTTACTGTTCTCATCCCAACGCCTGCATCTTTGTTTTATCGTCTCACGAAAAAATGGCTGCTGCCAAAACTGCGTTTTTGTTGTTGTTTTAGGCTTTTCATGTGTGTGTCTGTTTCAAAAATGGGTACTTTTTTCCAGAGTTTACACCCCCTGAGATAGACTTGGGAAATGTAGCATTTTGTATATCAGGAAACTGGCTTTTGTAAGTGAAAATAGTGAGCAGGAGTATTACGTTTAAACAGAGCACTTTGTATCTCGTTATTGGTTGGTGTTCGAGTTAGGATGTTTTAAGTATAAGCTTTAATAACTCAATTTATTGTGGTAATCCGAGCATTTAATAACTTGGTTTTTTGGGGGGTTTGATCTTTTTGCAGAATTGTTCAATTTTATGTATTACCAAAATCTTGCCGGAAAGTTTTCTTTTATTTACATTTTTCTTTTTTCTCAAGTTTCACAATTGGCTGAGAAGAACACTAATTGAATCGTTCTCAGACATGTAGATTTTTCCAGTCCCGCTATAGTTTTTTTTTTTGGTCCAAGAGTTGGCACTAGTAATAATATAACCTCCAATAACATTTTATGAGACCGATTGGCTCTATGGGGCAGTTGCCTGCAATCTACAGTATTAGCATAAAATCATGTATAAATATTAAACTGTGAGAAGTGTGCAGGACATTTATGATTCCCCTTTGAGCATGCAAAGCTATTTACATGCTAGTCATTACCTATACAGGTCATATTTTACAAAGTCTGCTGCTCTAAACTGCAGGCGCTTTTGTACCAATTGAACCAGTGTTATTTTTTTTCCAGCTATGCATTATGTATATTTTGTAGCTGCCGGGGTAATGAGAACACCTGAATGTTAATTGAGCTAATTGTTTATCACTCTGGACCTCTTTTTATGTTGAGCTCTCTATCTTAAGTTCTTTACCATTGTTGTATATCGTATGCATGAAGCAGATTGGACTCTTGTTGATCCTTTGACATATTTCAAGCTGATTAATACTAAATGCCAAAAAGCAATCAGCTTGCCACACTGTATCAAAACCGATACTGCCTCTGAGCTCGAGTCCTTCCTGTTATTTGCATTTAAAACAATTTACCATAAAATTAATTTGTATATTAAAAGCCCTTGATTGGGGTAATGCCAAAATGCTAAAAAAAAAGTTTTTGATTTATGGCAATATGTAGATATGTATAGATGGTTGTTCTTCTGTAAGTCTTACAATATCCATATCTTATTGTTGCCTTTGTTTCTGTCAAAAACATGCATGCTCATGTTTGTCGTTGCAAAAATACCACATTATTATTATTTCTTTTTGGAGAGAGAGAGGTGTGTAGAAATGGAAATCTGTGTGGCACATGCTTTTTGGACACTCCCATTTAAACCCATTTGTTCATCTCTTTGCTTTCATTCGTTCACAGTGATTCTTACACCCTTAATACTTTACCGGCTGCTAATAGTAATGTGAAGAGTCTATTTTCTATTGAATGCACTGCAGTTCCAATTATAATTTGAGTTGAAAGAGTTTTGTGCATCTACATAGTTTAAACATAGGGAAGTACTCGTTGGTAGCATGTTTGGAGCTACGATTACAAAAGCTGATTGAAATGGATCCATAGATGCTATTATTCCTCGACTGGATAGAAAGCACTACAAAGAGTTTATCTCTGTCAATCTTTTTTGTTCAAAATGTTTTCAGTGTCTGTACATCAAGCAGAGAACTTTATCATGCACAACAAATGTAGTACTTGGTGCTCATAAAAAGTTTTTTTATTTTCATACTTAAAAATATCTCTGTGCTCCTACTATTCTGTATTAGTACTTTTTATAAATGAAACCGTGAACTTCAGCTAGATTTGCTGAAGTACATTGACAGTAGTTTCACCCTTTTGCCTATTGTTTCATTTTAAAGACAAACTAAAATACCAGAATGTACAGGTTGTTCTGACCTATCGAAGTAAAACGTTTTACATCTTAAAAATATTGAGAAACGTTTGGTAAAGTGGATGCGTGTTTTATGTATTTAATTTAGAAATTTAAAAGAATTATTAAATAGAGGTTTTCACATTCAACCATGGAGGGGAGGACAATGGTAAAACTTGTGAATAAAACCAACAAATCCTATAAATGTATATCCATATATATACAGACAATCATAACATTACAGAATTATTCAGATATCTCTATTGTTTATAAAATATGTACATATTGTATTGCTTTGTGGCTGGTTTTTCATTATTTTGTATTTTTGTTGTACTTTATTACTTGGTGTAAAAAGCTCCAGAAATAAAAGCTCTGGAAACAAATGTGGTAATTTGACTGAAAACATCCTACTCGGAAAATAAAAAATACAAAGATGGTGGTTATGATTAGATTAAATAAGAAAAGACAACTGAAACCTTTCAAAAATGAGTACATATTTTAATCGTTCTGATTTGCAGTACTCTGTGATCCATTTTGTTCAGGGATCTGTAGACAGCTGGCACTGAATGCTTTTCTCTGAATCCAGAATACATAATGAAGTTCATCAACTGTTCATGATGGTCAGAAGAGGTGCTGGACAGAGTGGCCAATACAACACAGATGGATTGAAGAATAGGAAGGCAAAGAGTTTTGCATTTTAATGTAAATACAGAGCAAATGTCAAATGATAATCTGTATGTACAATATAACTATAATTTATTTAGATGACATTATGAACTCCTCTTGTACTGAGAAAAAAAAAAAAGCAAGTCGTCAGATTTCCACAAATAAGGAGTCTGAATAAACTGGACCAGACGAGTCACTCTGGTCCGCCTCGCTGCAAAAGAGAAAACAAGCTATGGTCAGTGGTTTATTCATAATCTGGTCTATTTTTGTTCTGAACATTACAACATTTATAAATGTGTTTATATTTCTCCAAGCTCCAGAACAGTGCAGATATAGAAGATTGTTAAAAGTGAAATGCAATCAAATGGTGATCTGAACAAACAAATGAACACTAACCTGGATGTAGTCCATTTCATCTAATGCAAGGGTTCTTCTGCGGTATCTCTGAGGGAAATCTTTAACAACAGAGACACTGTCAGGGGTTCCCGCCAGTCGGTTGATGGGTGCCGGTGGTCTGGGTGGAGGTGATATTGACGTTGCAGGAGGAGGTGCGGATGGGGAGATCTGTGGGAGACTGGCTGAAAGCACCTTCAGTGCTTCTTGTACTGGAAATACAGCAGAAAAAATAATAATATAATAATTACCAACAAACTTGTAGCGCCAGCTTTAAAGTTTGCTACTATGATTTTTAAAACTAAACCAATGGAAGTAGGCTAAACATGCACACAACTTACCATTCGGCCTAGGAACGACGTTTCGATCTGGAAATTTAATTAAAGGAGCATGAGGTCGTACAACCTGCAAAGGAACACATGTAATGAGAAAAATTAAACAAAACAGTTCTGCAGTGACATATCTACAACCACAGACACTTACATACTTTTAATATTTAGGGATTGCATTTAATGTACACAATGCTTAACGTGTTGCTGAGATATTGTGCTTTACAGATGTGAAATAAAGCGATAAACAGAGCCGAAACTGGGTCTGTCCACAAGGGCATCTGCCAAACCAGTGACATCAATGCATTTTGGTGAAGTAAAACCACCCAAGATCAAAATGACTGAATACTATGCGCATAAGAGATCACCGTTTCAACAATGAGCACAAATGAGCGAGATGTCAAAGCAATATGATCGGTATACAGGCTGAAGCAAGTGTTTACCTGTACGACCCGACTGGCAGCTGCCATCTTGCCACTCACTTTGCTTCCCATGACGACATCCGATCACTGCTTCCGGTTCAAACACACAGACAAGACACAAGACGCGTAAGTGAATACATTAGCAACCTGAGGAGGGCACTGTCGTATTAAAACTTAAAGGACAACATTTTTTTTACAGTCTATGGGACAAACGCGGCAGACAAATAGCGATGGGAAGTCCGATTCATTTTTGCGAATCGGTTCTTTTGAACAGTTCGTATCAAAGAACTGGTTCAAAAATCAATTGGTTTTACTACGTGAGATCGTTTGGCTTAAACTTGTTTGAACGATAAAATAACATGTTTTAATATTAATAATAGTGGTAGTAATTATGATTATGATAATAATATGAATAATAATGCTGCTACAGCCAACTGTCTATCAAACCAGTCGCGAACGAATTGTTCAGACCAATTTTGCGAACCGGGTCAAATGAGTCACTGAAAAGATTCGACCCAAAAGAAGAGTTTACATTTGGCAACCAGACGAGGGCATGTGTAAGGACTATCATAAAAGGCTTGTTTAAATAACGCATTAATTATCCAGAAGTAACAACAACCGTCATGTCCGAGTCTGTGGCAAATAATCTGTCAAATTGGCTGCATCAACATATGTAAGTTACTTGAAACAGTCCGTCAATTCATCATATACATGCGAATTCATGAGCTTTGATATCACACATCAATAATACATTAATGCAGAAAAAAACAAACGCAAAATGAATCCACTGTAACTTACCCTTACCCTAGCTCACCCTGCTAATATTCATTAACGTTAACGTTACTCTGCTATTAAAATACCGTTACATTTACAAATCTACAGATCCACGCTTTATAATAAGCACAATAAACATATATTCTTACCATCAATACGCTATCTAGCTGAGCAATATAACCTTATTTTTCCATGTTGACCTCCGAGACACACTAAGCACCGTCAAGATAGTCGCCTGTGTGTGACTGTGAACGGCCGTCGGCCAATCCTTTATTTCTGCTCATGCTTGGTTTGATGCAGATGGGCGGGGTTTTGTGGATCACCCAGTCACATGACTGTCACGTGACGCCAAGACTTCCTGGCGGCAGTTTCGGAGTAGGTTCGCGGCTTGGAATCTTGTTACAAAAAAAGTAATATTAGTAAACAAAAACATCCAGAGCAAGAACCGGAAGCGACAGTAAGTGATATAATTTATTTAATTATATACGTTTTATGTCTGGGGTCTCTTCAACAGATATCTGAATGGGATTATGTTCCCCCCCCTGCACAGACACACAAAGATGAGTTCCAGTAGCCATGATGGACCCTCTTCAGATACTGACCCTGCTGAAATAAACGGCCTGTCTGATCCATCATCAACTTCTGATGGAGTGACACCCACACGTTTGCTAAAGTGATTTTCCTTTCTTTTATTTGTATGGTTTGTTGTTATCGTCTTGCACCGATTCGAAGAGTACAAATTAACAGTGTACAACTTTATGTACTATGTATATACAGCATATGTTATAGATAACAGTGTTACTGTGCTCATTCTGTTTCTTGTATGTCTTGTTTTTTTTTTCAAGAATGAAAGAAATAATGGAAAATCAGTGTTTTGAAATGAACGTTAAAGTCAGCATGGGTAAGCTTACATTTATATGTGAATAAACAACACACTTATGTAAAGATTAACCACTAATAATTATCCTAATGATAATTGTGTTTAATTCTTAGGAAAACACAAAGAGTCATGTGAAGCTGATGCAGATTTGTAAGTGTGTTTGAATTTATGAATACATCTGTATGTTTATACTGTATGTTATGAAATAATCCAACATTCATCTTTTTACCAATCTGTAGATCCAAGTATGAAAGTGCAATAGAGCAGGCAAGACTCTCGTACTTCAACAAAACACTGGTATTAAACAGGTAAAGATGCTGTGGTATCAAGCTTCTTTTTGCAATACAATCTCTGATGGTGTCCATGTTAAAATGTTTTTGTGTGTTCTAGAATGCAGATTTGGAATGCCATCATTGAAAAGATGATTCAGAATGATGCAGATGCTGAGTGAGTGAATCTTAATTTAAATAAATCTAATCTATGTAGTCCGATATCCAGTTGTCCCAACAGTAAGGTGATCTTTCATCATACAGGCCACTAAAGGAACTGACCAATCAGAACACTGAGCTTTGTGAAAAGACCATGACAATTTTAAAGGTGGGACATTCCCTGTTCTGCTATAGGTTTTTTAGAAAAATTCATTTTCATATATATGAATAATTCAAATTTTAAACGGTTTTATGGCCATGGAATACTTAATTGCTTATCTTTTTTTCCCTCCAGGAAACACGAGAGCTTCAGGACCAGATCACAGATGTTCAAAAGGAAAGACTTGGTACTTACCAAGACCCAGATGGAATCATATAGACCTTTCAGACAGTATTTTCTGCTCTGATTTATCAAATGAAAGCCCTTTAATATTATATTTTGATGTAACATCTGATGGGTCAAATTGTTAAAAAAGAAAGAAAGCTTACTCTCACGTTTTCAGTATGCGGGTTAGTAGAAACCATATCTCATTCATGTTTTCCTAGAGCTTAAAGGACGAATTAAGAAAAAAATGCTGGAGATAAATGAGTTGAAACAGGTGAAGGAAAATCAGGGAGAGGTTCAGCAGAGAGCCAAGGAAAGAGCTGAAGCGGTTCTACAGAAATACCAGAAAGTCACCACCATTTTACAAAATGTGCTCCGGGTACGTGACATCTCAATGTTTGCTTGTGTACTTGTCTGCATTTTTATTTCAACATGTCTTGCCTTGTTTTTTTTAGGATCACTATGCATTTTGAACCTCTTTGTAATAAAAATCTTGTTTTTCAGGGAATTATACTGGCCAGTAAAGTCAACTGGAGGGATGATCCTAAATTAAGAGACATTGCGATGGGACTAGAAAACATACCTAACTAAAGAGGACCTATTTGAACACAGTTCTCTAATTAATGTATATAGTTCACCTGTTACCATGTTCAGTGTAATGGTTTCTTGTACATTTATGTCAAGGATGTTTCACTGAAACATGCACAATGTATATTTAAGATTTTCATAACAGCCCATTTTATATATAATCTGTATAGAATATTTTAGAAACATCCTGAATGAGATATATTAGATTAAATGAACTCCATTTACAGATGAAATGACCTTCAAACTGATGCTTAATAAAAGTAACATGCAACCATGTTCACGAGTTTTATCTCTGTAACGTCATGCATTTGAATGAAACAAGTTATTCAATAAGAAAAACGGCCTTTATGGCTAGTTGGCTTTTGGTTAAATATTATTCAATAGCTTGTGCGGTTTGCCGTAACATCAGCCGAATGGGAAAAAGGAATAGCAAGTTTTTACATTTTCATTCAATTTTACAGATAATTTCTTTTGGAATAACATGCACTGATAAATTGTTCACAATAGAGAATGTGCAAGATTAGTTTTGATTTTATGTTGACACTGTGTTTTTTTTTTTTTTAACATAGTAACTAGACATTCACTGGACAAAAAAGCCTTTTACAAAGCATTTTATTTTCCATCCACTTTAAGTGGAAAGATTTAATACAGACAAAACATACAGACATGATTTAATAAAGTTCAAGCAGTAGAAAATGTATATTGTATCATATTTTCACCACCTGTCCTGCTATACATGGGCTCACTCTCTTCCCATCCACCAGCACAGGGTTCGGCTGAACGAGTAAACGTCCATAAGTCCCGCCCACCTGTCCTTTAGTGAGACGGCCAGGATTGACACATACACAGCCAATAACATCCTGGGAAATAATGGCAAATTTGTTTCAGTCCGAATTGAAATAAAACACTTTTTCTTTTACATGGTATATAAATAAACTTTTCTGAAATATGACTGATTTACCTTGATGAAATACCGAAGTTCAGAAGGAACGATAAGAATATCAGGTGTGAGGTTCATTTGGCTGAATTGTTGAAACTTCTCATAATCCATGTTAACTTCCTCCGCAGGAGGATATAGAGGATAGTAGCTAAAAGAACAAATCAACTAAAGATTTAAAACTGGATATCACTGTAGCAGCAAAGAAGGGTAAAGACAAACATTTTACTGCTACCCAAGACCGAGGTCATTTCATTTAAAGATGAGAGATGTTCTACAAACCTTCTCTGGGTCAACATGTGTTTCATGATCCGTGAGAAACGCTCTGTGCCAGTGCCACTGCAAAAACGGTAATGACAAATCAGTGCTTCTGCGCACTCATTCCTCTGAAGGAGTATTTATTTTCAAATTCAATGAACGTCAATGACATAATGAATCAGAAAACAGTACACTTTATACAAAAGTTCATTTACTCTTGTGCTAATGCCGAGTTCACACTGCACGATTTTAAAAGTAGTCGGGTCACTGTTCTTTTCACACTGCATGACTACGAGACTGAAATTGTTATTAAAAATGATAGCCTGCAAGAAGCTTGCGATCCAAATTGTCTGTGCGCTGATCTGGAGCAAAAAGAAAAAAAAACAAGATTATGCAGGAGTTATTAACAGATTATTTGAATCGCCGACAGCTCCAGATATTTAGCATGCCAAATGTCACGGGCGTAGGCGACTTGTCGGCAATTCTCTCAGATCACGTCTTTGATAATTCACACTGGGTGATTGTCACTCACGTGAACGAGCAACAATTTGCCTGTGTTTTCGGGCATTTGTTGTGCGACCTCCCAAAACCTGTTGGCGAGCGAAAATCAGGCCTAAAATCGTTTAGTATGAACTCGGCATAAAGTAGTCACAGTGTAAATGTACATGTCAGTTGTAGGCTGTGTTCACGCTATAATTACCAGTTGGTTCAGTGGTATTACCTGCTGATCTCTTCAGCGCCCATATGGAACAGAATGTCTGTAGATGTCAGGCCAAAAGTCACATTACCAATGAGGAGCGTGCAGGGGTCACTCGCCAAGGTCACTCGCTAATGCCGAAAAATTAGTATTGAACAAGAGAAGTAATAGAAATAGTTTAACTTATTCAGTATAAGATAATATACAAATAATAGAATATAACTTAATAAAATCATGTCTTGCTAATTAAAGTGACAGATCACCTAAAAAATGTAAATTCTCTCATTTACTCACCCTCATGTCATACCTAAAGTATTACTTTCTTTCTTCAGAAAAACACAAACTAAGTTTTAAGGACTTAGCCGTCCTCCCAAAACAATGGTAGAGGAACACTGGACATTATATGACCGCAGTGGATGAGTCAGTCACGATCGCAGTGTGTGGTTTTTCAAGCATCAATGGAGAAGCAGCCATTCACTTGCAATATATGTGCTCAGATTATTGTCCTAAAAATCTTTGCTAGTGTTTCTTCTCTGAAGAAAGAGAGGCATATACATTCAAATAAACAGAGAATTTAGCTAATCATCTCACCGCTGTATCATCTTTGCTGAGGTTGGTCAGGTTGAAGGGTGGCTGAGGATAAATGTAATGATGATTGACATCCCTCTGAGATGGCACAAACACCAACCTGCATCCCGACCTATAGTAAAAAATGCAAGCGTTGAAAACACAATCATACATTGGTGAGCACTTTCTATAAAGCTGTGAAAAAATATATATAGACACACACCCTTTGGTTCCTTCCACTATGCTGTCCACACATCTCTTGAAGATGGACTGAAATGTTTCTGTTACCTGGTTTTTCTGTTAAAAAAGGCAGAAAGTGTTTAAATTTGTGGCCATGACGAAAAATTGTTAATACAGGAATTTCAAATGCATACGAAATCTGGTTTACCTCAATCTGCTCATGTTTGGAATCAACAAATGGCCCAAACTATGAGATAAATAAATAGTTAATTACTAGCCAAAATGTCACAGTTTTTCTTTTAAATGTCTTTTTTGACATTTAAACATATTTTGTTTAAATGTCCAGAAAAGCAGTCATACTGCAAAGATAAATTAGGTTTTATCACAACAAGCTGGTTGTTGGACCTAAACACCACAGAAATGGGCACAACGCTGTACCCACCAGAATGCACACATCAGGATGATCTTTATTGATGATAGTAATGAGGTCAATCAGAGGGTCATAGGTCAGACTTTCAGAGGGGGTGTACGGTCCACAAGCCATCATAATCATCACAGGCTCAGACACTGAAAAAGTGTGTATTGAAGGGTTTAATGTGAGCCATGATCTCATCAGGAATGTTCTTAATACATTTTCACCAATCTTACCTTCATCCATTTCCTGTTTCACTTCAGAAGGGCAGTAAAAAGGCAGGGGAATACCCTAGTGGACAAACAAATCACTGAATAAATATAATTCATAAAACAAATTGTAAACTTAACCTAAACAAGTCTGACCTAAAAAGGGTATTAGTGAGATACCTCGTATAGTTTGGTAGCTACAAACTTCTCCCCAGAGGTGTTCATCCCATCCATGACAACAACCTACAAAACAAATGTAGAATGTATGCCCCCCCAAAAAAAAGATTAGTAATCGAATATTACATAGCAATACGTTAAAAACAAACATAAAAAAAAAGAGGAAAAAAGCAGTATGTGCATAGGTGTATATCTCACCTGTCCAGGGAAGAGTGAGAACTCTTTGAGCTCAGACAGATCCACAGGCACCTGTCTGCCTCCCTGTTCCTGTCCGGCCTCCAGCAGCACAGACTGGGAATTGAGCTTCCCGTTACTGTCACAACACACCTGCCCCAGTACTGTGATGCTATCCTGAGAGTGAGATCATGAATACGCAGACATGCAAAACCATGCCATAAATACGTTCTTTTTTTTTTATCACTTTGATAAAACTGAATTATTGAGCCATTATGATGATATATGTGCTTTTACCTGAACTGGCAATGAAACTGGAGAGAATTCCTCTATGTTAAAATGACTCCGCAATTCCTCTCCAAGCTCTTCAATCTTTTCAGTCAGAACTACAGACAAGAACATAAATAAATGTATAAGAATATATAAAGAGACTGTCTGTACGTATCATGTAATATACATACAATTACAACATACATACAATTTGTAAACATATAAAATGAATTTAATTTCTTAATTGTCATTGTATGCATACAACTGTCATTGCACCCATTCAACGAAATTTCACTTGCAGTTTCCTCACTAGATGCAATAATACGATAAGTAAAATTAATGTTAAAAATTGTATTGCTTAGTATTAATATAATTTTATACGATAACCAAATAGATAAAATAACAATTTATATGTATATAATCAATCCAATGTAAGAAAAGATAATAGCAGTACTAGTTAACATCAGTATTCACAACCATATATACAGTACACACACACACACACACACACATATATATATATATTTATATATATATATATATATATATATATATACATATACATATATATATATATATATATATATATATATACACACTCACCGGCCACTTTATTAGGTACCCCATGCTAGTAACGGGTTGGACCCCCTTTTGCCTTCAGAACTGCCTCAATTCTTCGTGGCATAGATTCAACAAGGTGCTGGAAGCATTCCTCAGGGAGTTTGGTCCATATTGACATGATGGCATCACACAGTTGCCGCAGATTTGTCGGCTGCACATCCATGATGCGAATCTCCCGTTCCACCACATCCCAAAGATGCTCTATTGGGTTGAGATCTGGTGACTGTGGAGGCCATTTTAGTACAGTGAACTCATTGTCATGTTCAAGAAACCAATTTGAAATGATTAGAGCTTTGTGACATGGTGGAAGTAGCCATCAGAGGATGGGTACATGGTGGCCATAAAGGGATGGACATGGTCAGAAACAATGCTCAGGTAGGCCGTGGCATTTAAACGATGCCCAATTGGCACTAAGGGGCCTAAAGTGTGCCAGGAAAACATCCCCCACACCATTACACCACCACCACCAGCCTGCACAGTGGTAACAAGGCATGATGGTTCCATGTTCTCATTCTGTTTACGCCAAATTCTGACTCTATCATCTGAATGTCTCAACAGAAATCGAGACTCATCAGACCAGGCAACATTTT